CACCTAGGCTATCGAGTTGGTTAACTAAGAAATCGATCCTGCCCAATTTCTGTTTGAAGACATCAGTTATTCTGGGTTAAACCTCCAATTCTACAGCCTTATTATGAACATTCTCAGGTGTAACGCCATCTGAATAAGGCCCGTGACCTCTTGGATCGACACTGTCTATATTATAAGGTAACCGAATATTTTCGATAAAGTCTGTCCTGTCTTTCTGGCGTAACCTCTCAGCAGCCCTACGTTTGGCTGCTGCCGCCCTACGCATCGCCTCTGCTGCCCCTAACTCGAGTTGGGTACTTTCCAGCTCTAACCTGACATCACTATGAACATCAACATTTTCATAATCTGAGAAACAATAATCAGACTTACCAGGGGGAGGTGCACCGGCAGTATCAGCCTGAGACTCGTACTCTGAAGAATCGTGACTGGATGTATCCATAGCACAAATAAAAAAATAATAAAGCACAACAGTAATTGTTCACCGCGAGCGAATTCAACTGAAACAAAACAAATGTTACAGTTTGACCACAGTCACGAATGCGAGAGGGCAATCGGATAGGCAACAAGGGTACAAACACAGAAATGTTTGCTTGGCACCAATCCAAAAATTGTAAACAACCTTCAACTGCTCGATAGACGAACCCTGAGCCAATCCAAATACTGTTGCGTCCTCTTGAGCTCGTAAGTTTAATACGCGTATTAAACTACACCAACACCGCGATCGAGCACGAACGGGCCTGAACTTTGGAATAACGATCACTCCCCAACTGGATTGAACAAATTCACACACGCTGTCGACAATAAATTCCGCACTGGAACGAACGTATTCAACCCGATACCGAACGATCCCAAGTAACCGAATTCAACGAGAACGAGCAACGAGAACACGAATACAGAAGGTAGACTACGATGTTTATACACACATTATAATAAATTGTACAAATAGGAAAACATACTTGGATGTATGCTCACCCAAGCAGAACGCAGGAAACAACCGAACGAAAATGTACACCAAGCTCAACCGAGCTGACCAAGCAATATGTCCCGGGTCGAACGTCGAAAACGTTATGTTGGAACGTTTAAAAAAACAGGAAGTTACAAACAGCAAAGTGGAAACGACAGAAAACAAACAGTAATAAAGAAGAAGAATATAAAACCTTTTGTTTTAATTACGGTGCATCAGCTGCCGTAACACGCCCTATGGCAACATGTTTAGGAGAGCACTAGATTCGGGTCAGGTGATGCTCCGTCCCAGATAGATCTAGTAGTCACCACACACAAAAATGATATCATGGCGCTACAGTCGCACCCACGTCATCCTGTCGATCAAATTGTGCATGCGGCACGCTAGGGGACCACCCAAGCTCATTATAAATTTCGGTTGTATGGATCAAGTGAATCTCAGAAACAGGGCATCGGAGTTGGTTAGGGAGGCTCCGGAAAGGGTCAATGTAGAAGAGCATTGGATGTTTATTAAGGAGGTCCTCGTATATCTACAAAATGAATTTGCTCCACTGAGACCCAGCCGAGGTGGCAACAAGCCGTTGTGGTGGAGGGCAGCCATAGCCAGGACCATCAAACTACGAACTAGGTACTGAAAGAGCTTTAGATCTTCTGGAAATCAACAGGCGTGGGTTAGGTATAGAAGGTGTAGAAATGAGGCGGTTAGGTTAATACGAGAAGTAAAACGGCAACATGAGCTTCAGCTGGCCCAATGCGCCAAAATAAAGCCAAAAAATACTATAGCTACGTTCAGTCCAAAGGAGCACTGAGAGAGGGTACAGGACCATTAAATATGGGTGCTGCATCAGTCGTGATGGACGACCAGGGTGAGGTAGATGATTTGGCTGAATATTTTAGTAGTGTGCACCGAATGGATCACAGTATGCCGAGAACTTTGGAGTTAGGAACATCCCAGCCAGAAATCGGGGAGCTTCAGTTATCGGAAGAGATAGTGCGGCAGCACTT